GTTGTTTAGCCTGGAAAAAAGGAGGCTGAAGGGAGATCTGATTGCCCCCTACGACTGCCTGAAAGGAGGTTGTAGCGAGGTGGGGGTTGGTCTCTTCTCACCAGTAACTAGCGATAGGACAAGAGGACACGGTCTCAAGTTGCACCAGGGGAGGTTCAGGTTGGATATTAGGAACAATTTCTTCACTGTAAGAGTCGTTAAGCATTGGAACGGGCTCCCTAGGGAGGTGGTGGAGTCATCGTCCCTGGAGGTGTTCAAAAAATGTTTAGATGTGGCGCTTCGAGACATGGTTTAGTGGGCATGGTGGTGTTGCGTAGAAGGTTGGACTTGATGATCTTTGAAGTCTCTTCCAACCATAACGATTCTATGATTCTAAGATTTTCTTAGTATTCTGACAGGTGTACCAGAGCATTAAAGCCTGTCTTTACTTCAACAGAGAAGTGTTACTCTACCATCTAGAGAGACACACTAGATTTCACTCAGTAGTGTAGCCCAGCAGAACAGGCTTTAGTACGTGCTGCACAAGTTTGCCCATGACACTGGGGACACACTTAGCAGCTGAACACAATTCCTTGGCAAGTTCTTTGCTAGACAGCAATAGAAAAGCTGGTGCTTTCAATCACATACCAAGAATTTGTTTGCAGTCTCCAAACTCCTTATTAAAAGATGACCTGGAAACAACTATCTTGCCAGTTGTTTCAACACGATTGGAAAACCCCCACAAAAAACAGACCTAGAAATCCAGGCATTTTAATCAATTCATGTATCCAAAAACTGTGTAAACTACATTTCAATAATGAAATCTACTAGCTGTGTAACAGGTTAAACTAAATCACAGTTCTAATTTACACATCAGCTAAACAGCAGCTACTGCACTTTTTCCTACTCTGCCTTACTCTTCAGTAGCTTTTTTAGACAAGCTCTTAGAAACTCACTTTTACCCTCAGAAGCATATGCAGTCACATACCTAACTACCACTACTGAGAATTTTTAAAGGCAATTTTAATGGCTCAAGATTAAGGAAGCCTCCTCTACCAATCTGAAATATTACTATGCTCTCAGCATCACAGCTGCACACCCCAGATATCCCAGTTACTCCTATGTTTGAAAAAAAAAAAAGACCTGAAAAAAATGTCAAATTCTTAACAGGTCATTAATTCTGTGCCATTAATGCAGGAAATGAATGTGAATCACAATTCTACTAAAAATGAAAGTAAACCATATGCCTTTTTTTAAAAAAAAAATATCATTAGAGACAATAAAACTAGTTAATACTTGTTGAAATTTTGTTTGAATTTTTTTAAATTATTTTTACATAAAAGAAGTACATAAGCTGTACACAGTTTCTTCACACAGGTGCAAGAGAAAGAAGCTCTCTGGTCACACAAATGCCTGCAATAGCGAGCCCTCAAGGTCCACAGATCAGTCATGGAGAAAAAGGAAGAAACAACTTGTATTGGGTTTGCATGGCAATGTTTTGGTAGCAGGAACGCTACAGGGGTGGCTTCTGTGAGAAGCTGCCAGAAGACTTCCCTATGTTCAACAGAGCCAATGCCACCTGGCTCCAAGACAGACCTGCCGATGGCCAAGGATGAGTCCATTGGTGATAGTGACGGTGCCTCTGGGATAATAGATTTAAGAAGGGGAAAAAACAAACAAGCAACTGCACACTGCAGCCGAATAGAGCAGTGAGAGAAATGTGCGAGAGAAAGAACTGTGTAGACCCCAAGGTCAGTGAAGAAGGAGGGGGAGGAGGTGCTCCAGGGACCAAAGCAGAGATTCTCTGCCAGCCCACAGTGAGGCCAGCTGTCCCCCGGCAGCCCACGGAGGTCCATGCTGGAGCAAATCTTCACCTGCAGCCTGAGGAGGACCCCACGCCGGAGCAGGGGGATGCCTGAAGGAGGCTATGACCCCCTGTAGAGTCCACGCTGGAGCAGGTTTTCAGACAGGACTTGTAACCCCATGGCGTACCCACACTGGAGCAGTCTGTGCCTGAAAGACTGCACCCCATGGAAAGGACCCATGCCGGAGCATTTAATGAACTGCATCCTGTGGGAAGGACCCATCTTGGAGAAGTTTGTGGAGGACTGTCTCCCATGGGTAGGATCCCATGCTGGAGCAGCGAAAGAAAAGAGTGTAAGGAGGAAGGAACAGCAGAGACAACATGTCATGAACTGACTGCAATCCCCATTCCCCAGCCCCCTGTGCCACTAGGGAGGGAGGAGGTAGAGAAACTTGGGAGTGAAGTTGAACCCGGGAAGAAGGGAGGAGTAGGGGGAAGGTGTTTTTAAGATTTGGTTTTAATTCTCATTACCCTACTCTAATTTGATTGGCAAAAAATTAAATTAATTTCCTCAGGTCAAGTCTGTTTTGCCCATGATGGTAACTGGTGAGTGCTCTCTCCCTGTCCTTTACTTGACCCAGGAGCCTTTTGTCATATTTTATTGTCCAGTTGAGAAGTGATAGGTCAGCTTGGTGGGCACCTAGCATCCAGCTAAGGTCAACCCACCACAGGACTATGTGACAGTTGTACCTGCTGGAAAGCTTAAGACTCAAGGGCAATGCTGGAGTTCAAACTGAAACAAGTTTTCACATTCATGTATAAAATAGTTTCTTAAGATCTTCTTCAAATAATTTTATACAGTAAAAGCTGTGACATTTTGTCCCAATACTCATTTTCTGTGTATCGTCATTCCTTCAGAGCATTTTGAAGCCTTTTTCAATGTGTTGGTCACTGGCAGACAGCTTATCATGACAGTGTAGAAATAGTATGCTCGATAGGAAAAAGCACAGACTAAGGATTAAGATTCCAATAAAGAAAAGAACCAATCTGTGTATCAGAAATTACCCTTAGCTATAAACACCTATTTCTATTTCAGTCCATGCACATAGTTTTGAATGCCAATGACCTTTGGTGTTTTGATACACCACTTACAATGCTGAAATGCATTTAGTCTTACCTCGTGCTTAATTAACACGGTAATTGGTTATACAATACTACAAATACCACAGCAATGATACAGTCTGCTCAAAGCAACATCTATTTGAAAAAACAGCAAGCAAACAGACCAGATTCTTGCTGTCTTGTTTGTGAATGGTGACAATTCTTCTCTCACTGGAGCCTTCTTGGCTTGCTTGCTTAATGCTGACATCAATGATATCAGGAAAATCACAGTATGTTTGTAAATCCTGCAATAAATATTGGTTATATAATGTCAGTAATAACATAAATAACAACTAAAAAGCCCCACCTATTTGCAGCATTAGAATTCCAAAGCCATTACAAATATAGAACAGAGTTTTCTGTTTATGGGACCATCACTAGGAGCATCAATATAAAAATGCACAAAGATCCAGGAGCTGTGAATGTAAGTATCTGTATACGTGTTGGGTTTTTTCAGTTGTAGATATTTCTTTGCTCTGTAGTATTTGCAGCTTTTTTTTTTTGAGAGAGAGAACTTATTATTAGCATCCTGATTAAAGATGTTTAGAAAGCCTGTTAACAATCCAAAATGTCATGGCTTCATTCAGAGTGATACAAGCTGCAAAATCTGCTACCAAATAGATGCATGTAGTATGAATGAAGAAAGGGTCTAAGAAAAGATTGTCCCATCAGGCATGGTCATTACCAACTAGATGACTTGAAGCACCGATCCTAATTACATGCAAAATCCAAGACACATTTTCCTTTGATAGCAAGTTCAAGTAGTTTTTGATACTATGATACTCTGTACCACTTCCTTCAGCCTCTCACAAGTCAAATTACAATGTCATATAAATCAAACTTTGTTTTGTTTTCAGTAGAACTGTTCTTCCAAAGCAAATGGATTTTATTCAAGTCAGAATATCCCATTTATATGGCTGCAAGCATATTCTAATACATAAACAGGTGCAATAATCAAGGCTGTAAGACTCAGTTGGTATCAGCTAGGATAAATTAACTCAAATCCACTGAAGTCCCTGAAGCATTGTTTGTTCATGTGGTTGTTGGAAATTTGAATTTGCAAAACAAATTTCTTCACAATCTATCCCACGTATGTCATTCCTGCCCTCAAAAAGATAAAAATTTTGTTTCAATTCAGTGTTTTAATAAAGATTCATCAGTATAGTTTCCTGAAACAAGACTTATGATCACATTTACAAGCAGCCTTATTAATTTACTAAGTTTTCATAACCAGTTTTATACACAGTTTCGAGACCAGTGAAAATATATGCAGGCTACACCATATCTCTGTCAATAAGTGGGATGATAATATTATTAATTATGAAAAAATAATCTGGCAATCTCTATAATAAATATGATCAGTTTAAACACTACTCTTACTAAAGGCTTGGTTGCCAGGCCCAAACAGCATAGTATGCATAAATTTTGCACACCTAAAACTAGAAACTGGAAAATCTGACATTTATGTTAGCTCCTGCCAGAGCAACTGGCACTTACAGGCCAATTAGGAAAGGCAGCAGGTTGATACATAACAACTATGAATGAGGTAACCAGACCTAATGTCAATCTACAAATATGCTAAGAAGAACACACTTTAAAAATCTGTGTATGTAATCAGAGGGACTTTTTTCGCTAAGTATTACCAAAAAAAATAGCATTTTTTACAAATTATTATAGTACAGTGTAAAAATAAAACCTTTTGTAGTTTGGTCTTGACTGCTATATATCATGCATCAAAACTACGAAACTAATGGATGGAATTATTTTGGAAATCTGACGTGCTTCACTTTGCATTTAATTTTACCTTTGGAAAATCCTCACACTCTCAATGTATAGTGCTATCAGTTTGTATCAGATTCTGGTAAATTCAGAAAAATAGTCATGATAGGAAATCACACACAGAAGAAATAATGGTGATAAATAAAAAAGCAACAGCACATGATTAGTAGCACTTACTGGAACCATTTATCATCTAATTCCATAAAAAAGAGTATATGGACTCTGCAGTATGGAAACGTCACTTTAAATTTGCTAGTTCAGACACTGGTAGGAGTTTAACTGCAGCAGGAAAGAGGCACGAGGAAATTTACCTCAGTTTTGGAGTACTTAAAACCCTGCTTTCAAAAAGAATTCGAGAAATTTGTGCATTTTACCTATACCTGGGGGCAGGGTCATTACTTTTCCACATTGTTTTTTTTTTTTTTACAGTAATGAAGGTTTAACACTGAATTTCTCATTTGTCGAGCACAGAAGCTTTACATGTTCAAGTATTGACTTTCTTCTAATACTTCAATAAAAAAATGACTTTAAAATCCTGCACTGTTTAAGTCAATACATTTCTGTGAGCCTCAGCCATACGGAAATTGTATCATCACTGTGAAATAAAATTTACCTACCAAATTTAAATGGGGTAAATCAGAACTTCTAACATAAGCTAATCACTCTGTTACATGATAAACTGCACAATTATCAAAATAATAAAAGAAATTACCTGCTCTGCCAGTGTGTCACAGTCTTTAAGTTTTCCTCTTGAGCACTGAATTCCACCATTTCCAGTTATTACAATGGTTGCAAAACGTTCCTCTCCAGAAAGATCTCCACCAGGTTCTTTTACTTCAAAAACCTCTGAATAGAAGGCAGACTGAAGGGTTTCCAGATTTATAAGATACTTAAGTTTCAAGTTTCTGGCAGTAGCTTTGCATTGGCCAAACTGTTGTATAAATTTGCGGAACCTGTACCTTATTCTTTTTCGCGTCAAAATATGGTAGTCTTGGATTTTTGCTCGCACACATTTAGGCAAAAACATTTTGTAGCTGTGAATACATAACCAGCAAAAAAACTACTGATTTTATCCATTAAATCCAGCAAAGATAATTAGTTCTGTGCTAAACAAGTCAACATGAAAATATCTTTTTCTCTAAATGTAACCTTAATCTTTAACAGATTAAGGTTAGCAGAATAACAAGGATCCTTTCTTCAATCTGTAGTATATTCTTTCAAATACTTTCTTCTTCTGTTTTCCATTTTTTCCCCTCATATTACATATATATATATTCAACATATATTACATCATGCATTTTCCATAAATCCAAACATGTCTGTTCTAGTCATTACTGAAGTTTTGAGGTAAGGCAGCAGAAGTTACACAGTTGCTTTGTTTGGTGTAGAAGTTGGGAAGAGGACACTGCACGGTTAGAGGCAACTACACAGACAGAGGACAGATTTCCTGCCTGAAAATATAGGTGGTAGAATACAACACTGGTTGGTTCTCACTGAAGTTCCTATATCACAGCCCATGTTCTATATTACGGGGCAAAAGAGTAGTTTGTCACCTGCAATGAGCTGGCCAATTCGTTGTCTCATTCTGGTTTTAATGAAACCTAGCAGGAGGAGTGAAAAGACAAACATCAAGCATTAAATATTAAGCAGGGACAGAATTAACTCAGCTGGAGTGGAAACTTAGGTTGATACACCAAAGTGAATTGATAAACTCAAGCAAGTTTAGCAGAGATCTGTGTAAGATGGTTAAGATCCTGACATGATAGAAAAGGCATAAGAGAGCTTGACTTGCTCAGCCTGTAGAAAAGAAGGCTCAAGTAGGGTGTTCTACTGTCTTCAACTAACAGATGGTTATGGAGGAGACTGAATTAGACTCTTCTCAGACATGCACAGTGAAAGGACATGAGGTAACAGAGGATAATCAGTATCACACAGGAGAATGATTAGATATAGAGAAAAATCTTCCCTAACAAAGGTGATCATACACAGGACAAAGCTGCCCAGAGATATGGTGGAATCTCCATCCCTAGACATTTTTAGAACTTGTCTGGACGAGGCCCTGAGTACCTTCATCTAACTTTGAAACTGGTCCTGATCTGAACAAGGGGTTGGATCTGATGACTTCCACAGGCCTCTGCCAACTCAAATTATTGCTTACATCCTTTCCCACATGAGTAGCTGCGGCCTTACCTCTCATTAAGAGAACCAAATCCATGTACCCAAAAACATGAATCGCCATCATGATACAAGCTTTCTATTAATTCCTAGTTTACACGGCAGGCAAGTTTATGGAATCACTATGCTAGACTAAATCAATTGCCAACAGCTGAACTTCTCCTCCCAGATGCTAATGTGCAAAAATAGTTTTTAGAGATCAGATAGGTGTGATACAGTTATGAAGTATGGAGTCACCTGACTGAATTGTAAATAGCCAGTGGGGTTTGGTCCTTTTCTTTGGCCACTCTCATCATATCCAGAACAGCCATTCCAAGGCATTCTTCTTGTGTTTCATGAGTAACAGGCATCTGTATCCATCCACCCAAAAAATCATCTCGCCACTGAGGAAGAAGAATGCAAGAAAGCAAACTAAAACTGTAGCACTGCTGCTTATCAATGAAAGTTTTTTTATGGTGTAGGTTTTGTTGTCTTTTTTTTTGTTTCCTTTTTTTGTTTTGTTTTGTTTCTTTTCAAAGAAACCAATCTACATTAGAAATAATCAAGCAAATCATACCTGTGCAAATAGGTAAGACATGACAAGATCATCAAGAACAGGGCTTTCTGCACCTCGAAGAATGCCATACCGATATGCTCTGCTGGTGCCATTGCAATACCAGTGGGGAAAATAAAACCTGTTAGGAAATATGTAAGCAAACATCAATAAACAGGTACTTTCATTTACCAACACCAGACATTATTGCTTTCATAGACAAGTAATTAGTGCCGGCTGGTTTGGAGGACCAATATGAAGCCACAATTAGTCAATGGGAGGCTTTGGATCCAGTTCTTGGTGTCTTAGAGTACTACAACATTTAAGCAGGGTGATAAGCTGTACTGATAGGAATAAGGAGCTCTGCAAAGTTATCCTCATTAATCAGAATACAGAGAATTTTGTGTTCCTGTCTTCCAGTTTCCTTTGAGACAGTTCCTAAAGAAACACTCAGGCCACATTATGCAATGTAAATAAACGAAACCTTTTACATGAGGAAAACGGTGACTGTAGATTTAGATGTCTACATTCAAAAATCAGGTTAGAGAAAAATGGTTCTATTGCAGACATCTGCCTGACTACACAGGATAATTACTCCGCATTTCAGAACTGCAACTAATTTCAAATAGGCGAGAACAGAGGAGATGGGATGTATCATTATTAAGAAAAATATTATTTTTACTTCTGCTATATTTTTTATTGTTTGTTTCTTCAATCTGACATGGCAAACATATGGTATCGAGACAATCAGTAAAATATGTTATTCATACCTCCTCCAGTAATTTTGATTCTTTTTTCTATCTCTTATCCAGATACCATGAATCTGTCCATAACTTCTTCGAGAATCTATGGTTCAACTAAATATCTTACTGGTTGTGTTTTCTCACATAGGTTTGTTGTACCATGAAAAGTGCCTAACATTTGATTTAGATTACCTTATCCGGTAAATTAGGATGAGTCTGGTTGCTTCATCGACATGGAAGATGTGATTTGGGGGATACCACATTCTCTCTGTTTCACTCATGAGTGCAAACATGTTATGATACACTGGCATGATACCTAAACAAAGAACAATGAAGCAAACATTTATAGGAAATTGTTTTCACAAAGAATCAACCTTATTAAAAAAAATATTGTGGGTTAAAAGCAGCAGATTAGCACATGATCTCCAACTCTTCGTTGCACTGTTCTATCACTGTCAACAGCATTGCAGTCGTCACCCCACAACCTGCAGATTGCTTTTGCTCATTTATTTTCTCACTCTTCCTTCATGTTCTCTGACTGTAGACTGTGTTCACCTGTTATCCTATACTTCACTGTTAGATTACAAGGTTTTTTCTGCATGGCATTTAATACAACAGCTTCTTAGCCTGTTAGTTTAGTAATATCTAAGAATAGCACATTACCTTTCTTCTTATATTTTCCAAAAACAGCTCTAGGCATTGATCTTAAGATTTCAGAATGATGAAAAATTAGAAGAAAAACAATACAAAGAAAGTCATCACGACTAGGACAACCACCTGCCATTTATATTTTAGTAGCTCAGTTGAGAACAAAACCAAACATACACTGTTAATCAAGCAAAACTGGAAAATATTTTTCCCCTCAACAATTCAGGATTGTTTTAATGAGAATTGACAAGAATCCTCCTTAATCACAAACTATGGAAATCAGCTGAGCATCAATGCTTCAGCAGCACCAGAATTTTAATTTGGCTTTGAGGCTCCCAGCTCAAAGTACAGCCTAACATGACAGATGTCACAGTATTGTACTGTGCTGCAGTGTTATGTGATGCATTTACACAATGTTAGTGCTATGATTTAGAAAACAGCTTAAATGTCTGAGAATTGACAGCTCAAAAGGATGAGCTTCAACCACTGACAAAGATATTTTGAAGCCAGGAAGAGATACAGGTCTAGAGGTCAGAGAGTAGGATGAAAACTACAGTGTGAAAGTCACAGTAGGTCATAACAGAAGAAAACTATGTTTACATTAAAGCAAGATGCTTTTGGGGAAGGAAGCAAAAAACATTAAAAAAATAACAGATAGAGAGAACAAAAGTAACTGAAATGATGCTGAGAGACAAAAAAAATTGAGGGAAAGGCAAAGTACCCACAACCTTGCTCAAAGACTTACAATGAAATCAATGAAGTGCATAAAAGACACTAGGAGAGAAAAAAACCACCTTCTTTCTTTCTGTTCTGAACAACATCTAGGTAACTACTGAAGGGAGCAGACGCAAATTTGGTTCACCACATCTAAAGTGCATGTAAGAGAATCAGTTAGACACAACCAATCAACCCCACAAACAAAACTGCATAGGCTTGTGGAAGAAAAAGAAATTCAGTCTTAAATAACAACTAGCTTAGATTTGTTACAAAATGGGGTTTGTCTCTGTAGGGAGCCAGCAAGAGGGCTAACAAGAGGTCTACTGTGCAGATGTCAGATTAAACTGCAGAAATCTATAGGGTAGTCATCTGACACTTGGTTAAACTAAAGCTCACCAAAATATACCAGAACTACAGGTCCTAACACATGATTGTCTATGAAAAGGAGTCATAGACTTACAGGAAGTTACAGAAATGGAAAGCATGATGTAAAGTAACCAAAGAGAAATCAAAACTAAACAAAACCCTCACAGGAATAACCTTAAAGGGCTAAGTAACTGAAGGACTGGCTGTAAATGTAGATGTTGCAAATTTACAGTGCAGTAAGACATATTTGATCCATCAGAGTTTTGACAAGTATCAAATTAACTCAATTTTATGGAGTTAGAAAGAAATCTAACCCATGCAACCAAACATGGTTCTCATTTGATGTGTGAAGTAGAATCAATTAGATTACATTACAGATCAGTTGTCTATAAAGCAGTAACAACTGACTTAGTTTTAAGACAGTGTGGTGTCTGTATCCCAGATAATTTCAGATGAATTACAGTATAATGCATGTGAAACACCGGCCTATTTCAGCATTCTAGCCAGATGCTAAACACCATTCAAGGCAACGCTGAATATTTACCTAGCCTCAACAATACACTTCCCCTAACTACTAGCAATCCCACATAAGCACACTGAACAAGAAAAAAAAAAATTCCAAGTCCTACTCTTAAATTCAAATGTTAAGCTGCCGTATTTCACCAAATATATTACAGACATCACCATCCCCCCAAAAGAAAATCAAACCAGAACAAAAAAACCCACAGATATTTCAATCCAGATCATATCATTGCCATTCCGAAACTTTAACTAAGCAAGGAATATGACTTTGGAATTCCGCCTACAAATCAGAAATGTTGGCATTAACAACAACAAAAAAATAATCCTCTTTGCTGTCTTCTTATGTATGAAAAGTAAACTGTGCACTCATCCATCCCTCATGCTTTAGCATTTATACTTCTGAATGGTAACTGGTACCTTTCACTGCCAGTGCTGAATGACATATAGACCGTTCATGTTTTTCAAGAAAAGGAGTTAACGCTTTTCTTCTTTTTCTCTCCCCCTTAAGAATTATGCATTTGTGTCAGAATATTACATTACACTTAAAAAAGTTCAACGATTATACAAATAGAGCAAATCCCCTTATTATTCTTGAAAATTGTCCACAAAAGTCTGATGAAAGCAGAGAGGTCAGAAACGTCTCTTTTCATGAAATTCTGACCACCACTAATAATTGCAGGGACTTTTCAAGTGAATGGTAACTGCAGTATTTAAGTGATTTGTCCAGAAACAACAAAAACCAGAAGCCTGGGGTGGGGGCAGGGCGGGCTGGATGTAGTGGTGAGGTAGGGAACCAAAGTCTTCCAATGAAGCCTAGACATGTCAACAACAGTGAAAACTGAGAAATGTATTTTCAACACAAGTAAAATCAGAAGAGCTGTTCACAACAGGTACTAAAAAACCTTCCCTGGATTTCTGCACTGCACTAATCATGCTATCAAATCAATCAATGATTAATTAGGAGTGGAGTCAGTGACTCAGACATACTAAAATTGAACTGTTCATTTTGCTTCTCCAACAAGGGCTATTAAACATATTTTCTGGACTATTTCAAAGATAAAAACATTCCTATCTCTTGCCAAGTATTTTATTTACTACATAAAGCTAAACAAAGGAGCCTCATCATGCTATACAGGCTGTCAAGTAACATCATGAAAGGCTGTAACACAGCAGAAGCTGTATCACTCAAGCCTCAAAAATTTGCTAGTAGTCTCTTCCTCTCCTCATTATGATTTTAGAGCTCCACATCCAGACAAGTCACACTACTTCATTTAGCCTGAAGCAGCTAAGAAAATGCAGCTTTTCTGTATTTCCTCCTTTGATGGCATTAGGTACCCCTTCACCCACACAATATGTTTTCATTAGGTAATGTCCCTCTGTAACGAAAAAATAAAAACCAGAAACTGTAAATCACAGAAAGCCATGACACCACTATGAAATGTGGAAGCCATGTGTAATCTACAGTAGAAACACTGTCTTATGAAACTGTCAATTCAAACATAAATAAAGTCATTAGACATACACAGATGAAAGCAATTAGTTGCATGGAGTTAATGATTAAAAATGATTTTAAAATCTCCAATTTTCAAAGTCTAACACAGTATTAGGCAGTTCTCACACACAACTGACAAGTAAACTACCGAAAACTTATGAAGTCTTGCACATACCAGATGGAAAATTGCTTGGCTTTTCCTACATAAAAATAGTATGTTACTCTCATGTTTCATAGAAACTGGAGGCTTACGGAACTCTGACCCCACATTCAATGTTGTTATCCTGTCAACAAAATGTTTTCTGAATAGTTAATCAAAGCACGTTTCCTTTCTTGGCAAACCAGAATTGCCCAGAGTTCTGACTAATTCACTCCTCACCATGGGTGGCTGGGGCAGTGTGTTGCGTGTGGATTTTCAAGGAAGGCTATAACTTAAGAAAAAAACCAAAACAACCCTCTCTCAACTCCACCCCCCTCACCCCCACAATGGACGGTTATAATCAATGATAACCCTGAGCCATGTGAATTCTTGAAATTCAGCATGCTGAGGATAATTGTGTTTAAAATTCTCTAGCTACTAACAAGGAATCTCCTCTGAACCTTACAAGCAAAGAGGTATTACAGATCATCACAATCATCACATTATGCAACACAGTCACTCCCTTGAAAATGTTTAATTGACTGCAGACACTGTCAGTGCTTAGTCACATCAAATGTTTTGAAACAGTGTTTTTGCTTTGGTAAAAATAAAAATTCTCTGCTATCTTACGGCTTTCTGGGAGGCACCACCAGATTTCCAAGGAAAATACCATGCAAATCAGATGGGTGACAATCAAAAGCTCCTAGGTGGAGTTTCAGCAGATCAACAGTAAAAAAAAAAAAAAACCTACAACAAAAACCCAACAACAAACACAGAAGCCAACAAATTCAAGGTCTTTTGCTAACTGCTAGCTGCCTGTAGCTCAGCAACCCAGTCAGGATTATCCAACTGGTTCCCTCTTGGGATTCTAGTTCCACTGAAAAGTTAAGATTTCAGGGTTTAATGATCCTAACAGAAGGGGAGGGGGGGAAATCAGAACAAAAGCCTCTCAGAAAGCAGATAAATAAAGTCAGATATGTCCTACAGAAATTTAGGGTTCATATATGCCAGGGGGACAAGCCATGGCAGAAATGCAAGATGCTAAACAAAACTATGCTCCTTGGTTGACTCTGCCAAAACATTTTTCAGTGTGCTATTTAAATGTTATAGTTACATTTAAAGTCACTAGCTCTCCACAACTTGCTATAATTTATTAAGATTTTCAAGAACGCAGCACAAATTTATTTGGCCAAGACCAAAGCAATGCTTTGCTTATAACTGTAACTGTTTTAACTGTGATTTACAAACTTACTTACCCAGCGTAACATAAAAATACGTTCACTTTGTTAACTTTAATTAGTAACAATTTAGATTATACATACACGTGATGCATATATTTTTCACTCATTTTCAGCTGAGGGAATAAATCAACAAATTGTTAGTTTAAAAATTAAAAGAAAATTATTCTTCCATGTAACAGTGGTCCTGTGTATAATGTGTTATTCTGGTAAGCAGCAGTGTACAGTCCACAGTTGTTTGGTTTTTTTGTTGTTGCTGCTGTTGGGTTTTTTTAAGTCACTTTCTCTGATGATAAAAACTCTTAAATCCACTTACAAGAGACTGGGTAGTAATTTGCAAAATTATTGGTATAGTGTAGTTACGCTAATACAGTATGCAATATATCCTTCTTTCTGTATACAAATAAATACATCCAAGATTCAAACTCAAATACTTCGGATGTTCCCAGTAGTCTGTATCTGATTTACCTACACCACAACAAAATTCAGTTCGTGTTATTTTCAATTACAGCTGCTAATTTTTGAACACAGGTTTCTAGATTTTTTCTATAATTTACACTTCAAGTAAAACAAAAATTATAAACAAAGTTTATAGTTACTCTGTAAACAATCACATTTACTTATTCTGTAAAATATCACATCAAGCTTGCATTATCACTCTCTCACATCAACTCTGGTGGCTTTCCTGAACCATTACTACTACTTGTGTTTGAATGGCCTTGATCGCTTGACAGTTTTATAAACTGATTGTAAACACATTAAACACAGCTTAAAAGAGAAATTTCATTTAAGATTATTTGAGAGAGAAGTGAAAGTGAAAGGGTTTAAGATCATGATTTGAGAAAACAAGTCTCTGATACTGAATTTAGAAGACACATCTAACACAATGATTCCACAACCTCTAGAACATTTTCTCCATCATATTTCATTTCCACCATCAGTTAGTTCCACTTTCTCTCTTAGGCTGAGAGTAAAGATTTTCCTTTTTTTTGGTGTGACATTCGTAATTTTTTACATGGCAACTAACATACTAGTTAACATATAAGAGTTGAACCATGACAATGACCAGTCAATTTAAACTTAATTTCAAATCACTTCATTTATTCTTGTATTTCTGGTTAAAAAATGTGATACTCAGTTTCATGTTCAGACAGTTTTCCATATTAAAATATGAACCTACAAAAAGTTTCATATTTATTACATTATTCAAAAAATGGGAAGTTGTTTTTAAATAAAGTAAGAAAAGGCTTAACTTTGGCATGTGTGCCTTTAACTGGCATGCAATTGCAGAATAATATTTAGACCGACTAATATTTATATAGCCAATACATGCCATATACAACAGATCTAAAGTCAAGTCAGCACAGACTGGAAAATCTTCAATTGATTGAACTGTGCAAAAGGTACATAACAACATTGCCTCTGTGACTGCTGATGTTTGCCTAGAGCCAGTCCTGCTTGCCACCAATAACAAACAGTCATACTTTGATGTAACTAGCTCTGCTATCGAAAGATCTAACAATTGCTCAGAAGACACAGAAAGTTCATTAACAATTACCAAGTTTGTTATATTTTGGACATGCCTACTACCTGAACCACTGTCTTCTTTATGAGGTATTCTGATTCATAGCTAACTCCTGAAAGACGAGTCTTGCCAACATTATTTGACTGTACAGGCTTTGCAGACCTATGGGTTCTGCTGTACAACCACTAAACCTCCTAGAAAGAACAGAATATAATAAGAAGAGGTATCTCATGATTTAAGCACTAAAAACTGTTATGAAAGAGAACAAAAAAATTGCAGCCATTTTAGCCTTTTCCACCAACTATAAATAAATGAAGTTACAAATTCCTTTGAGAAAAAAAGTTGTATAACACTGCCATAGTAGCTGCCAGGCAGAAACCACTCTTCAGAGGACTTTGCCTACCTCAGCTCCACAAGGATAAAGGCTCAACATGATAAAACATTTTATTTATACAAGTATAAATCACTACTGATATACTTCAGAAACTCTGGTGAAGAATGCTGAAACAATAGAAAAATATAAAAACAACTTGACAAGGAGTACTTTCATACAAAATTATTTTTAAAACAGTCAAGTATAAAAGCATACATCTAGGAGCTACGTACTAGCCATACCAGCAAAACAGAAACTGGTACCCTAGAAAGCTAGAAGCCTTGAGAAGGACTGGTTAGGTCTGACAAAACAAGTAATAGAGTATGAAGGCTTCAGACTATGTCACAGGAAACAAGACTAATTGGATTTGTGGATTAGCAGGAACTGGATTTTGTGTGTTTGTGATGTGGGTGAGAAGAATATCATACATGGCCTGGGCTGCACGTTTTCCTGGTAAACTGGGGATAGTGCAGAAGATAGGCAAAAAATTAAAAGTTATGACATGTAAGCTGAAGAAATCAACCAATTTAAGTTTTATCAAAAAGAAGACATAAAGATTATTTGATTATGGCACATAAATATCTCCCTAGGTTTGGTGATGAGGAAAGGAGAAGAAAAGTATAGCTTGAACAAACATCTGAAAACTGAAGCAAGGAAAATTCGTACCAGAGAAAAAGGAAGAAAAAAATGGACAGACCAGCAAAACCAGTAGAAACAACTAATCAAACTACCAAGGTAGTTACTATTCTAGTGAACTCAGACCAGGTTGGGAGATTTTCTGGAACATGAGCTTTAACTAACTGATTCATTAGAACAGTAACTGAAAAATTTTTGTTCAGATGACTTGTTATTCCCCTATCATGAAAAAACATCTAGTCAGATAGGAAGCTAACGAAGCAAGACACCTGATGTCATGGTGGATGATACAGTACATTCTTTCAGAGACCACGTTATTTTGAACATATTGAATTTGACGGATACAAGCCCCCATCACTTTAATATTCTGGCAAGTTGGTACATTAATATTTAAGTTAAACAAAGAAGCATTTTTTCCCACCACATCTAGTAAAATTGTTCTCTATTTCACTCCCTCAGCAATACCCTTAGTGACTACAACAGTATTTATAAAAAAATATTTATCACTGAATGTAAAAATTCAATACCACTTTAGCGCTCAGAAAGAACCTACCCCTCTCCTTATACACCTTTAGATACTGTACCTGAGCATCCAAACTAAGCCGATAAATCTAAAAGAGGCAAAACTGAAGCCCAAAAAACATGGGCACCAAGGCTAAGAAATCTATCCTTACTACAGAAATGAGTATGGGCATATTTTCTCCAGCTGGGAGACAACACTTTTTTGTTGTTGTTGTTGTTCAACTAGCGGAAAGAGACTATAGAACCTTGGGGACACAGTGGAAGATATCTGGAAGATCTTGATTTGAGTCACCATCAAAAAGATACCTTAACTTCGAGATCACTTTCAGGCCCATCTGTCAAACTCAGACCTACAAGGTCATTAGAGCAGCAGAATCCCATACAGCTAAAATTTTACAAACCTCTGAATGCCATACTGCTCACTGATGGCCTTCCAGAATGAATCCCAGGCAGTGCTTACCAGCCTAAAGCTCTCATATTACATGAAAAGCAACCTCACAAACTCGCATCCTACGTCAGACTCCGCCACACCTAAAGAACTCCAAGGAACAACAGGGCTTAAACACAGAAGAATCTTTGTGAAACTAGCACATACAAGCAAATTACCAACTCACAGCATGCAACTCAGTCAGGACAAGACATTCAACAGCACAAAAAAACCTGACAGATCCCTCCCAAAAGTAAAGTCATTAAAACTGTATTTTAAAACAATATAGCAAAAGACAAAATCACAAAAGTATAAGATGTTTGGAGATAAAATGCAGTTAGTCAGCAGCTTCATATCTGTAATCCACTGGAAAAAAAAGATTTGGCATTACCAGCTCTTCTTTTAAATTCCTTTGCACCTGAAATGCAGCACTTGGAAAACTAAAAGACAAATCCAGACTTGTACCACTGACAGACCAAAAGAAGATATGGAGAGACTCTGTGCACATGTGTGTGTGCACACATGTGCATGAGGAACAAAAAGACAATAATTTTAATATCCAAATTTTACTGGAATTAATTTTTTATTCACAGATTCAATGTACTTTTGCAATGAAAAATGCATGCACAAAATACACACCTGAATTATTTTACTATGGGTCTCAGCACTTATTTATATTAAGCTCTGGATAAATGTAACAATTCAAAGGCATTCTTTGATATAAACATGTGGGGGGTTTTTTATTTATTTATTTCAAATATACTACCCTGTCGTTTACTTACTTTATTTCCCAAACAATTACAAAAAGCATTAACCACACACACACAAGCAGTCATGTTATATCTAATAGAATAGTTTCCATCTGCAAAGTGGTTAAGCAGGTATAATATACAATATACACATAACTTCCAGGACAAAACTGTTTTGCAGGGTTGCATCAGAAAGTAATTCAGGCCATTTCCAGGTCCTGCTGTGATTTAACTATTGAAACTATATCTCAGCTCAATGAAAGAAGACTTGCAGGTAAAGAATAGTATACCCTCAAATCATTTGAAAAAAGATGGCAGTCACCCAGTTATAATCTCAGTTTCACAACCATTCTGACAGGAACAGTTTTGTAGGCTGGTGCTAATTACTTCTGATATTGCTTATTTCTGAAAGAACAGAGAAATTAGCATTGCAGTTAAAATGCCACCATTTTGACAAGCTCTGGATTATTAAAAAAAAAAAAAACACTTTAAGTTGAATTTCACTCCTTCATCAAGAAAACCATTATGTATATACTTACCACAGGCTTGACAGGCAACAGTGCAAATCTCTTCTGCAACATATTCTCCAGCTGGAAATTGAAGGTAATCTCCTCCTGTCTTCCCAGGAGAATGATAAAGGTACACTTGAAGCAACGGTTCTGTCTGCTTGGGTGTACTGGTATTCCCATGGATGTCACCATTCTGGTGGATGGTAGAAGCTTCTGTACCTTCCATATTTGTCATTGTAAGACAGGCCATTGTTTGTTTCGGTTCTGTTCAGAGCATTTGCCTAAAAGAAATGTAAGGAGCACTTTTTGACTAATGGTATTTGGTTTTGCAGTAACTGAAACACATGGTCACCACTCACCTGTGGTATGAAAGAGCTCATCATTAACAAAATTGCTTTCACCTGTATTTCTTAGCAGACAAGTCTCCAAGTGGACACACTCTGTTTTCCCTTCTTTGCTCCGTTCAGAGATCATTGCATCAACACAACAGAAACATTAAACATGGCAAAAAATTTAATTACTGTTCATCCAGAATATTTAAAATATGACCTATTCTTCTGATCATTCTAGAAGTTAAGCAATTTGAGACTAAATGTAAATATTCATGTAAAGAATTCCCATGGCTGTATAAAAGGATTTAATACACCCAGAATGGGGCTTTTGTAGGCAAGTTACTCACGGTACCACAGAGGTATTTGTTTGCCAAAGAGGAGTTATGGACCAGGTCCACGCACATCTGAAAGTGGATGTCTGCCATAATCAAGATCCAGTGAAAGTGAAAAATGGCCTGTCCATTTAACCACGTAACAAGCATGTGCAACAAAATCTGGATGGAATATAAACATCTTGATTTGGAGATCAAAGCTACTAAATATAAAAGATCTGATTCTGGTACCAACGAACAGAGGATTTGATCCAACAGGATTATTTTAATGTTCCTAATCTGGATAATATTTCAAGTCACAGCTTCTAAAGGATGAGGTTAATCATTCCCCATATTGCTCTAACCGCAATTGTCAGCATCTACAATGCAGTATGTTTACATGCAATTATCTGTTGCTGTCTGTACCTCCAATGCACCTGAGGATTAATTTTACCAGCCACACTGGACTGCACTAATTCATCTGGTTCTTTTTAAGTCAACAAGGAAGAAATTAATTAATGAGACTGAAAACCACCACTTATGCAAGAAATTTCATTAAAATGTGGAGCACATACAAAATCCACATGATTTAATAATATGCAGCTTTCACAGCCCCATTCAGGACAACATTTTTTGCTTCTTACGGACAATTTGAGTCATGGGCTCTACCAGTTTTGTGAAATCTAAACTCTCTTCTTGAAAATAATCCTCCCCCACCTTCAGGGTTTTTTGTTTGGTTGGTTGGTTGGAGGTTGGTTTGTTTGGTTGGTTCAGTTTGGAGTTTTTTTGTGGGTTTCTAGGGAAACCCTCCATGTCCAGGACATTAAGCCATACCACTTCAAACATACAACTTTGGAGGTTCAATAATCAGAGTATTCTCTCACTACAGATAAATCCCTGGCTGTTAATTACCTTTTATCACTTGAGAAATCACTGTATGAAACATGAGAGTGATGAAGTCCTTTAAAAAAGTACATCACAAGTCACCCACTTGCTGCTGGTATCCACAGGAGGTCAGACAAAGCATGCACACAAGCAGTGTTGGAACATAATGTATCTGCAATAAAAGCACACAATATTTAAAAAACCTAATGGCTGTGAACAATACATAACGTGTCATTATTTCAGAATTCACATCCATCTTTAGGTACAGATACTGTGACCCACTCCTATCTCATTTGCCCAAATTCCTGCCTTCTTTGCCAAGAACTTTTTGAATTTAGGGTTTTTTAAATACAAAGTTTAAAATCCCAAAATTTTAAAAAATGCATTTTAGGTACTGAGACTGCTCCTCAGTTCTAGCAAGAAATTGGTGTATGAAACAGACACCTGACTTGAAATATAATTACCAGTTCTTTTGCACTCACCATGTTTTTCTTTTCTGTGAATACAGTATCAGTTTAAGAAAACTGTTATGGCATTACATGAAGAAAAGAGAAGTGAAAAAGGAAAAGTAATTACAAAAAGAGACATGGTATGTTCACTTCATGTAGTAACACTCCCTTTAGCCAGAGCAATTAATTCTATTTGAAACCGACAGCAGCCACACGTTTCAATTCATGTGGAACTTAACAGCAACTGTCTCGTAGCAGGAAGAACAAGGGCACACCCACCCTTGCTCTCTTTGCACAACATTTCTGTGGTTGCAAGAAACACCATTTGAAAGTGCTTAAATACAGCAGCAGCTTCCTGCACCAGTGAAAAAATGATAAATTCCCTGTTGTGATCCTCCCAACATAGGAAAGTGCCTGATAGAGAAGCAAAAATGAATTTTAAAACTGAATAGAGGGGGGAAAAATACAATGGAAGTTCAAAGGGGACAGAATTCAGAATGGGAGAACTCTGTAAGTTTTATATTTGATGAGTCTTCGGACAGAAATCTCCCTGGACAGGAGAAATGGCAATCAATACAATTTCCTCAGCATCATGTGCTGCGTCTATGCAGTCTATCATTAGTAACCCAGAAAAAGGAACCCATCCCAATGAGCATTAAATTCAGCTTCTCTCCCCAAGAATTCAGACTGTTATGGCAATGATTAGCATTTCTCCCCTTGCAGTACTGGCTTTAGAGATAAGCAGTTCTGCCTTGTTTGGACAGCTGTGTATTTTGTACACATCTCCAGGGATTCTCCTTCAAATACTGTCTAGCCAGCCAATTAAGATCTGATCTTAAGTCCGGTACAGTCAACGCAAGTTTTCCAGGTCTGTATTAAAGTGCTAGAGGGGGAAAAGGGGGGTTGTTTGCGGCAGACCAGTTTGTCACTGACCTACCAAGCACACATTCCATACACACTGATCTGAGAGCACCAGCTTCAAACAAAGCACAGAACCACCATCTGCTCGTGAAGGTTTCAGATCAAGGGGCATTGCTGGGTATTCTAAACTACTTTCTATTTTAAAAGTACTGTTCAATGCTGACAACTGCCTTGCATTCATCATTCCCAGCTGGGCTCTTCACGTTGAGCAGAGCTGCATGAAGATTTACCTATTATTTACGTAGTTTTCCCATAAACTCCAGATCAACTGTGTAACATCATTAGCTATATAAGACAGCTGATGATGAACTGATGGGACAAACCAGGTTAAGGTAAGAACTCAAGCCACTACTACTCTCTGCTTAGTAGGGCTCAGTGGAATAAGGGTTGCAACATTTTGAATAAGCTCAGTGACACTGCAGCTTGCATTTCAAATGCAAAAATTGAATAAAGCAGCCTAATATCAAGTCTATCTTTCTTCACATGACAAACAGAAAAATAATTCCTTGTTTATGAAAGAGGAGCTCATAGCTCTGGACAAAACACAAGGAAATTCTGAGATTAAAAACTCCAAGCTGAAAAGGCTCATGGTGGTTATAGTAACATACTTCTCTCTCTCTCTTTAAGGAGACAGTCAACCACTTTTTCTTCAGCACACATTTACAGACATACCTATTTATAGGATCTGCATCGAGATTTATAAGATCATTAGTTTACATACTTTCAGGCTGAGTAAGTCTCATCTGACAACCTGTTCTTTTACCAGCAGAATTGCAAAGAATGTTACCTACATTCCTGACTGTACCAATCTGACAGTGCACCATACTGCCAGTCACCTAGCTCCCACATTTCCTCTTCCCCTCCCAATTTCTTCAAGTCTACACCAGCTTACATTTCTGGCAGCTGCAAGGATTTAAACACCCAATCCCAAAATGAACTTAGAGTCTAACAAAACTCAGTGAAAATAAATTAGTCCATCATCTCCAGGTTGCCATTTTATGCAAAGAACACAATACAGAACTTGTTATGCAGAGGTGGTTCTACGACCTGAAACAGTCATTTCTGAGGAAGCCTTCAGAATTCCTATAAATACAGTTAGTGTTTATTCTGCCTGTGTCACTTAATACCTTAAATACTCAATTTACTAGCAAGAGAGGAGGAAGATGAAAATAGCATTTCCTATTGACAAGACAGACCTTGAAGAAATAGGCTGCCTCCCAACAACTCAACATGTCTATTGCCTGTAGACTAGGACATTTTGTGTACTGAAGATGACAAAAATGTGCACACTTTCCATATGCCTATACACACATCCTTCTTTCAAGGAATCTGAGTAAGCATTCTAAATATCAATCACGAAAGCCTTCCCAAGTAATGGTAGATAGGTGGTTAAGAATGTAGGTAAGAGACTAGAAAAATATCACAAAAAGCGCTAACAGGTCTTACATTAGTCAGTAGTAATGGGAGAACATCAGTAAATTCTAAAGAGTATTATGTGTCTTCTTACACGACCACCAAAATAATTTTCTACCTCTAAACCCAAGATTAGACTAAGAAAAGTCAGTCCGTTTCCCACTTGTTTTGGTTAGCTTGTTTGGTTTACACTTAATATATATACTTAATATTTAATTACAGTCTTCACAGTTCAGTTTGAATATACAGACAAATAGAGCACAACTAAACTTTCCCATAACATGCACCCAGCATGGCCTGTTGTGATATGGAAACTCTAAAATCTTAAAAAGTTAACAATATTCTGCATGTAACATGCTATATTCCTTCCATATCTGGTCTAATTTGCTTTGCATATGCAGGTGTGTTTTAGTGAATTTTTTTTAAACAGAGAAGTATATTAAATTTAAGGAACCAAATGCATATGCTACTTTGACAGGCAATAAAGTATTGTATTTTTAAAACATCACCATGTGCAGAAATGCCACTGCTCCTCAATGGACCAACAAGAGATTCTGAAGCCTTTGTTCAGTCAGAACACACTACAGCAGCTAGTATTTCACAAAAAATTCACGGCAACAGATTCACATCTTTCCATCACATATTCATGAGTAAACATTCTTCTGACTAACTTTATCAAAGTCCTCAACAATGCCTTTAAAAACACTAAGCAATCTTGAAAATCTGATAACTTTTTCCATTGCTTAGACAACAGATGCCAAGTTTACACACGAAGTTAATCTGTGCTTTAAAACACATTATCTTCGGCATTATGAAAACTCTGTTGCCTTTTCCCAAGTAATATTTGTTCTGCGTTTAAAAATAGCTTTCATAAAAATATAAAACATTGTCTTAAAACATATTTAAAGATGTTTTGTAGAGAAAGAGTATGTCTGCAGTTTTCATGGTCTTTTTTCTAACATGCTCTGCCTACTGGGGGATCCAAAAGTTGCCCTGCCCCAAGGTAAAGCCACTGACACAAGAAAATAACTGCTCGTACAAGAAACAACTGCAAAAAGTTGAGTGACTCCAAAGGAATTTTCCGGTTTTATCAGCTGTACATTAACATCACACAAGGATTTTTAATATATCAAAATTTGAATGCACATGGTAGAAAGCAGATACAGCAGGAAGATGACAGACTAACATATCAATGACAAAACATATGCTAAAAAAAGTGGAGAAGAAAAGATAACATTTGCTTACAGTTTTCACTTGGCAAACCACTGCCTGTATCAGCAATTCAGTAAGAGTCCATGAACTTTTGCACAAGGAAAGAGTAATGATCCTGGCCTAATCCATCTCCATGACACACAGGGACTAAGTGGACAGAAGCTGTTAGTATGAGGATTTTAATCTTTTCATTCTGATTAGGAATAAAAAAAAATCATGATAGATTCTAAGTTCTTCACAACAGAAGGAAACTCTTGTTATAGCTTCTCCCATGAAGAAAGCTACTTGGGGGAGTTGTCAGAAAAGCAGAATGAACAATACATCCTAGTAGCCTCAGCATCACAGCAACCTGCCAAGTAAGAGAGTTACCAGAAAAGCTATCAGATCAGACCTGCCCACAAGAAACAGCTCTGCTTAGTTGTCATCAGAACTTTGGCAAAAGTCGGTCCGCATCTGTAAAACATTTCAATTTCACCATGCTGATAAATTTCAGCAAAAAGACTATTTCATCCAAAAATTTCCAAGCAATACAAATGGTTACCCAATTGCTTTGGCAAAGATTATCTCCCGAGACAGTGGCATCTGAGGATCCTTAGTCCATTCAAAGACACCATTATCTGCACAGTTTTACATGCACAGAGGACATAGGAAAAAGAACCATAATAGGTCAGAAAGACCTTTTGCATGAAGTACGTGAAAAATGTCACCAATTTCCTACGATTCCCTTACACACCTCTCTCAAATTCTTCTAAAAGTGATGCAATAAAAGACGACAAGAGCAAAATTAGGACTGAGTGATATTTTCACAAGTATGCCACATCATACTAGATTTTGTTTCGTGAACTGTTCTGAAAACTGAATTCTGTTTAATAGCTTAGACCATGAAATAAGCGTTAATTAGTAGAGTATAGGTCTTCCTTAACTGATTCTTTGATTTCTTTCAAAAAGACATAACAAAGGAATTGCCAATGCTCCTGTGTGCATGGAGCAAATTAACTCCAAGCAAAAAGTGTTTCTGAGGATCGCTATCACTTGCTACCACTTTCATTCTGCGTGGTGGTTTTGGTTACAAAAAATGGAGAACCACTGTCCTACACTGAACAATCAAAGCACTGGCTTCTATGTAAAAACAACTACCAGTGAATTACCAAGAAATCAGAAGACAATAAAAAAAAAGGT